ATCTGTTTTAGGTTCATGATCCGTGGAGGACTCAAACCGAAACTCCTAGTCCAAAGGTAGATGTAGAAAGGTCATCTTTTGGGAAAAGCGTTTAGATCGTAGAGAACATCTCTTGCGCTATACATTGCTTTTGTCCCTTAAAGTTAACTTCATCAAGCGTTTGAGCTATCACTTTTATTCGTATAAAGCATGTGCATTTATCATCCAATTAATGTTTTACTTGAATTCTTGTATTTACAGCCTACAGGTTTTGCGTATCCCCAAAGCCAAATATATCAAAGGAGTTAGTCACCATTAACTATTTATACAAGGTAGTGGAATGCTTTCCTTCACTTTTGCTCAGTCATATATGCTCATGAATACTCTAAAAAAAAACCCAAACCACAATGTTTTCATGCTTAACTAGTTCCAAAACACTAAAACATCACCAAACAAAATATCAAAGCCGCATATCACTTGTATAAAATGCAAACAAAAAATGAATAAAGAAAAATGAAGAACGACTTACATGAAGGGACAGTTGGGAGCACGAATGGGAGGAATATGCTTAAGTGCTTAACCAGTTCCAAAACATTAAAAACATCAAACAAATAACAAAGCCACATAGATATAAAATGCAATAAATAAATAAATGAAGAAGGAGTGTTGAAAAAGGTTTCGTCGGGGCTTTTCGAGGTGCAAGAGCTCGAATGATGAAGTGGAGACCAATGGGAAGACAAAGATGATGAGACAACATCGTGGTTCTGACACAGATGAGTGCGAATGTATGTTTCTGTTGCATAGAACAATTTTAAAATATTTTTTTTATGTCGATTATTATTTTGACCCACATAAACATTGAATAAGCGATATAAAAATGTCACCGTTTTTTTTTTTTAAATCGACATAAATTCTATAATAGAAAGTGCTTTGTGAATTAACGAGTCAAACATAACGTAAGTTTATGAGAAGGATATATTTCTTTCAACTAACAAAATCTGAAGTCACTAAATTCAAGTTTTTAGGTTATGAAGCTAATTTTAAATTTTGTAGTTTTAAAATTTTAAAAGTTTTTTTTATTAGTTTTTATATTTAACAATTTTTTATTTCTTGGTATGTAATCTTTTTTATGATTATAAATGAACCAACATGTTAGTTTATGAATTTATTTAACTTACGAAATAAATAAATAAGGCTGAAAATATAACGTTCCAATTAGTTAATATTTTTCTTATTCATCTACTTAGGTTAGTGGGTATAAAAGACAATCCAACATTTGACGAGCCTAATAAAAGAAGAAAAACAAAATCCTAATGCACACTATCTCACCCAAGGTTTAAGAGATGTTTTACCTACTCTTACGTACGTTAATTAGTCCAAATAAACATGATAGTGTTTAACTTAACATTGTTGTACATTCCTCTAATGAGTGTGCATCAGGAATTTAGCTAATTCCAAGAGTGGATTGTATTCATACGAAATTCTCATTAATTTGTGTTTATCCTTGTGAGACCCTGTAGCATTCTTCTCTCTTTTCTCCCTCTCATCACTTACCTTATACTTTCCCTTCTCCTTTCACTTTGAATTTTCACTCTCAAATTCCTTTCTCTTTAGCTGAAGCCGTGAGCACCTAGGAGGTCTCTAGAGTGAAGCCGTGCGGAGCTAACCGAGTGTGGATTTCTTTTCTCCTTCTTCTTCCTTTCTCATCCCGGAGCTCGGAATCGTCTAACTAAGGTAAGGGAAGCTAGTTTTCGCTTGGATTGGTTGGAAATGAGTTTAGAAACTCATGAGATGTTTGATGTTGGCTGATTCATGGGCTGTCTTGAAGGAAAATGTGTTTTCGGGGTTGGATAAAATTTGGGGATTTTCTGGTTGTGTTGGTTGCATGTGGGTAAAGTTGGGGTTTTTGGTTCTTGATGGAAGGTTGGACATTGATGATTTTTCTTCTTGAGTTTTGGATGCATGCATGTTGTGATTCTTGAGGTTTTTGAGTTGCATGTGGTTGGTAGTATTTCATTTAAGTTGTAGCATAGTTTGGGTCTCCTTGGATTGCAAGTTCATGGAGGTTTTGAGTGAAAATGAAGGTGAAATCCATGGAGATTTTTGGAAGTTCAGAAACCCACAGCAATAGCCGTGGAATCACGGCTATAGCCGTGGAAGAAAAATGTACTTGCAGGAACCCACAACTATAGCCGTGGATTCGCATCCATAGCCGTGGGAAGGAAAAACGTGATGGCAGAGACTTGCAGCCATGGCTGTGGTTTTGCAGCCATAGCTGTGGAGAAAAATTGAAGTGGCAGAAACTTGCAGCTATGGCCGTGGATCTGCAGCCATGGCTGTGGAAGGCAAACTGAACTGGCAGAGAGTTGCAGCTAAAGCGCTGGATTGAGCGCTGCAGCGGTGGGTCTTGATGACCGAATTTGGTCTTAAAGTCTTCATCAAAGTTGTAGCCTTGGATCTTAGCTTTCCAATGGCGTTGGAATCACCCAAAAAGGAGTTCTAGAACTCCAGATATGGCTGTTATAGTGAAGAGGGGTCAAGCTGCCAGCATTGCTTATAGTTGTTGCGGTTTTTAGAATTTTTAACAAGGTAGATGAAGGAATTTGGACTTGGTGTCTTCTTGAGAGTTGTAGGAAATCTTCTTATCTTTCATATGAGATAAGGATGAGTATGATAGGAGTAGTATAACTCCTGATACGCTGTTTTCTGTGAAGGTTTCCATTTCACATTTAGTGATTTGGTTAAGTTGAAAGTTGTTTTAGGTGCTTAGGTTGATTGGTGTTGTTTAGATGGGTAATTTGACAAGATAGATGAGTTGTAAATAAGGTGATGAGCCGTATTATGTGTTGAATATGTTGTATGTTGTATAAGTTGTTAATGATGAATGTTGTTGAGCTGAGATGTTGATTATAATGTGATGACTTGTGGTTAACGCTGCTTGTTGATGTTGAGTTGTATCAATTATAAATTGTTGTGAGTTGATATGTTGAGCTGTATCAGTTATATACTATTGTGAGTTGATATGTTGAGCTGTATCAGTTGTATACTGTTGTGAGTTGATATGTTGAGCTATACAGTTGTGTTGTACTGTGTGTTGATATTGGATGTTGTAGGCCGTAAGGCTGAGGTGTTGTAGACCGAAAGGCTGAGGTATTGTAGACCGAAAGGCTGAGGTGATGTAGGCCGAAAGGCTGAGTTGTTGATCACTAAGACTAGAGGAGTTGTTTTCGAAATTTCCTCATCCCATTGTGTGGATTGAGTGGTTGTGGTGCTCTTGGAGCCCAATTTGTTGAAAACATCTCCTTGGAAAGCTGACCCTTGGAGTGGTAACTTGCTGTTCTCCTCTAAGTCTTAGTGGTCCCGTGTGTGGGCAAGGTCGAGGCACACGTGTACAAGCGCCCACGGTATAGGGGCTGGGTCGAGCTATACCGATTACAAGCGACCAATACTAACTTATATGCGTGACGACGCATTGTATGTTTTATTGCAGTTATGCTGTATGGCTGATGACTTGTATGCTAATGATGTGAGATGTGTGTTGTTATTACTGAATGTTGTGGTATTTTAAGTTGATGTTGTTAAGCTGGTTGATGTGCTGATAACTGTAGTTGTTTTCTATTCATATATATATATATATATATATATATATGTGTATGTTGTTTCCTTTCACTAGCTTACCATTTGTTGTTTCCATGTGGTTTGGACTGCGATGATCATACTATGTATGAGAGCAGAGCAGGGATAGGTTGGTGGCTAGTGGTGAGTCTGCAGCTGGCAGGCGGAGCTGATCCTTGTTGATGTTTTGTTGTTTCGGCTACTTGGTGTAGTAGCTTTGGGTGTATTTTTGTACATTTTGAATCTAGTCAGACTTGGACATGTATATATGTATATTCTAGATACTATATATATACTTGTTCCTTTCTGTCCGGTTTCAAGTGTACGATGTAGTGTATAATGACTAGTTGGGTCGTTACAATCCTTGTGGTAGAGAGAGTTTCAATTTTAATAGAATCCTAGTCATATTCAGTGCCTTCAGACTTCGGTGCATATAAAAAGAAAATATATATTCTATTTTGCAGCAAAGAGGTATAATTATATTAAGCCAGCTAATATAACAGGCACAGAGAGTACCCAATATTAGTGGAAACAAAGTTTTTACAAAGGAACAGAAAAAGGCTAACCCCAAAGAAAACAGAGTACAATTCTCTTGGACTAAACCAAAATCCAGATGACTCTCCAAACAAATATATGTATGGTTATGATCAAAAGCAAATACCCCAAGGAATACAAAGCCAGCCCTCATAAAACCAACACGAACATATTTTTTATAGAATAAAAAAGAAACAACTTTTATTCTCTTCTGTCCTTGTAAAATACTTATAGATAAGTGCAAGAATCACACATTTTCTTAAAGAAAGGCTAAAGTGGTGGAACCAGAGGTGTCAGATATAAATACGTAATCTTCTATGTAGGTATGTGTCGGCAATTCTAACATGTTTGTGTCCTAATATCAGAAGTGCTTTCTATTCTATCACTTCTGTTAATAAGAAATGAATTCACACATTTTCTATAATATTCATTCTAAATAAACAATATTACATGTTCCAATATCATCATAGTTCCAATTAATTTTCACATAATTGAGTCTTAATATTAATTTTTTATAAATTAAAAAATTTAACAACATACCACACCACACAGAGATTATTTAAAATATGCAATAAGAGACTATCTAATAATTATCCCCTTCTAATTAACACAATCTTTATTATTAATATTATAAATTAAAATATACTAAAAACTAGAAGAAGAAAACTTTATGAGTGTCACACATTAAATAAAATGCTATTAGATCCGCAAAATGTTGTAATTTCTAATGAATTTCGTAAAATAACAAAAGAAAAAAGTGTCCAAAATAAAATAATGTACCAGAATGTTGGCAGCATTATTTATCAGAATTATATAAAAGCGTGTCCAATTATTAGACGTTAAAATATAGAAACTATATATAGATATAAGCTAGCTTAACCCCGTTGTGGCATGCATACCTCCTAGTTCCCTTCACTAATATTCATCACCATTCATATCCTCCTCTGATGAACACTCTCCCTCAAACACCCGCGAAAACCATCCCAGATGCCTGCGACTACAAAGGCCTCCCAGCAGAGAGGTCCAAAACCGGTGGTTGGACTGCAGCCGCCATGATTTTAGGTCTCCAATACCATTACTTTCTTTCTAGCTACTATCATATATAAATACTCAGTTAAATCTTATCTTAACCATTTAAATTATATGATTCAGATTTACTCTTCTATTATAGATCCTTTATATTATGTGAGTATGTATAAGATAGGGTTGTTTATTTCCTTTTGTTCTCTGTGATGCATGTATGTCAGGGGTGGAAGCATGTGAGAGGCTAACCACAATGGGAATTGCCGTAAATTTAGTCACATATTTGACGGGTACCATGCATTTGGGCAATGCTTCCTCAGCCAACACAGTCACCAACTTTATGGGAACCTCTTTCATGCTCTGTTTGTTCGGTGGTTTTGTAGCTGACACTTTTATCGGCAGGTTTGTGATCACTCATCACTCGTCTATTACTTTTTACAACAACCCAAAGCAAGATTCAATTATTTTATTCAAATAAAAACTTTCACTGTTCTCTTTCCATTATTATAATATACATATCAATAAAATCGATCTATGGGCCCAAGTAGGATATTAATTCAAAAATCTTGAATACTAAAGTCTTCGATTAAATCAAATACGTACTACCAATTATGATCAACAATTAAGTAGATATTGATATATAATTGAGAACTATAACATCTCATTTACTCTCTGAAAAAGAAATAATATATACAGATTATGAGTTTATAGATTTTTCACTGCCTTAATTCTCTGATTGACGACAGATACCTAACTATTGCCATCTTCGCAACCGTTCAAGCAACTGTAAGACACTGCAAAACAATTCATCTTATTAATATCTGCATCCAATTCGATGAAGACCCTTTATTTATCTATTCATAAAATTTGGTTTCAGGGTGTTACAATATTGACAATATCAACCATAATCCCAAGCCTACACCCTCCGAAATGCATAAGAGACGCTGCGAAACACTGCGTGCCCGCAAGCAACATGCAGCTAACGGTGCTCTACATAGCTCTCTACACCACAGCGCTTGGCATCGGAGGCTTGAAATCCAGCGTGTCAGGGTTTGGCACGGACCAGTTCGACGAAACGGACAAAGGAGAGAAGAAGCAGATGATAAAATTCTTCAGCTGGTTCGTGTTCTTCATAAGCACAGGGACTCTGACAGCGGTCACGGTTCTTGTGTACATTCAGGATCGCATAGGAAGATACTGGGGTTACGGGATAGGTGTGTGTGCTATTTTGGTGGCTCTTCTTGTGTTTTTAGCAGGTACGAGGAGATACCGGTTCAAGAAACTGGTGGGTAGCCCTCTGACGCAGTTTGCGATGGTGTTTGTGGCGGCGTGGAGGAAGAGACATTTGGAATTGCCGCATGATTCGTCGTTGTTGTTCAACTTGGATGATGTTGCCGATGAAACTATCAGGAAGAAGAAGCAGATGTTGCCACATAGCGAGCAGTTCCGGTAAAACTTCTCACCTTCTACTGTTTCACTCATAGGCACACATCACAGTACTATAACCGACTCGTATAGTTAAATTTGTTTAACAATTCAAAAACACATGCTAAAAAATATATACTTGTGTCATCCATATCGATTATAAAATAATTACGTGATCTTGACAAGTTTACATTTGTGATGTTATTAATTTTTCATAAATTAATTTTGTAATTACTTGTCACGTGATTTTGAGTTATATATGTAATAATCTTTCGTTGTAATATCGATGTAAATATTTTTACACCGATAACAAATAAAAATTATTTTTAGAATGATTTTTAAAGTAATTATTTTTATGACAATATGCTATAAAATAATAACATTAAAGAACTTTTACGATACGAGTGTAGATAAATTAAATTCAGAATATATTTAGATTTTTTCATTTCGTTTCATTGATTTATTTTAATTTTCTCCGTGGATGCGGAAATATTAGTTGCATATTATTTAAAACACTCTTCATGTGGACAAAGTTTAATTAAGTAAGTCTTGTTAAATAATCTGTGAATCTATAACCCACTAGGGTAGCATAGCGGTAAGGAAATTTGGATGATAAATGAGTTCATTGGTCGTTTAAATTTTAGTACAATTTTTCTTTTAATCTATTCACAAGAATTTTATTCTTAAGTAATAATAAATAAATAAAAGATGTTAACCAGTGCTTTAAGGATACCAGTTAAAAAAATTAAAAGTAAAAAGTTATTAAAAAGTATAAAAATAATTTTTTATATATTTTTAATAAAAGTTATATATTAATTCCATAACCAATAGAACAAGGCACTCATCATAAAAAATTAAAAATATATATAATAAAAATTTGTTTAAAAAAACATGTGTTATAAGATGAATTGTTTTATTATGCACGATCACATTAATTACTAAATATATCATTCCTTCAACTTGGACTGGTCAGAAGTGCTGGTGTCACCTCAAGTAACCCTTTACGCTGTGGAACGTTGCACTTTAATAAATATGCATATGAATATGATATATACTCAAATTATAAATATTGGCTGTCTTCTTCTTCTCTAAAAAAAAAAAAAAAAAAAAAAAAACTTAACTCGTGTACCGAATTACCCGGGATCCACTTCTTATCCTGTCGTGTCTCGATTTGTGTAGTCACTTAAAAGAATACTAATTACACACGTAACTACTAATTGTGTAAAGGGTTTATACTTTAATTCAAAAGTCATCTACATATTTTCCTTTAAGAAAATACTATAAATATATATTTTTAGCACACTATTTTCCAATATTTTAAGTGAAGTAAATTTTCATGTTAATAAATAAGAATCATTTAATAAAAATTATATTTTATATATTAAAAAAAACTCTTCTTTGTATAGTTTTTAAGAATTTTTTTTAATGACAGAATTTGTAATAATTTATTAAAATTTTTATCTAATTAAATTTTTATTTATTATAATTATTTATAAATTAAATATTAATATTTTAAAATAAATTACCGATAACTAAAAATAATTTT